AATAAATTTTTTTAATAAACTTTAAAATTTTAAGTTTTACATTGAGCCAAAAAGCGTTCGGAGACTTTTGGCGGGGGTCTGTAGTTCTTCCTTTTCTTTTTGTTTGTTCCGTAAAATGGTTGATTTAGAGGGTCATTTAGATCTTGAAGTTCTTGAGGATCTAGACGTCTGAGTTGTAACAGTTGTAGCAGAATCTAGTATTACGGAATGAATAAGGTTAGCATTGTCCATGCTGAATAAAACTGTTTAAATACTAAAAATGTAGTAACCTTCATCTAAGACAGTTTCCATATTATGTTCCAATCTTTTTTGAGATCATCCATGAAGTAGTAAAAGGTTATTCCGCCGGTATTGCTCATCACACCCTTCCATAACGTCTGAACTTCTTGAGAGTCTTTCTCTTCCTAGTGATTATTAAGAGAAGAAACTTACATCAAGAGAATTTTAAGGGACCACAAGCAAAGCAAGCCGTACTAGGATCCCCTCGGGATCACGAGCAAAGCACGCCGTACCTAGGATCCCAAAAGAGATACTACAATCAAATTCGACAAATACCTGGGACCACAAGCAAAGCAAGCCGTACTAGGATCCCCTCGGGATCACGAGCAAAGCAAGCCGTACTAGGATCCCAAAAGAGATGCCATACCTGGGATTCAATGAGTTCACTCCATTTTTCTCTTAAATCTTCATTTACAACTTGGTCCCGAAGGTAATTTAAATCTCGACAATACAACTTGAACTCTTTTTTCTTCGATTTCCAATTCACGCTCTCGTTCTCATATAACAATTTAAAACATAAAAAATTCAAAAATGAAAAAGAAGATGGGTTTTGTTTTTTAAAATAATCTTTCATGTTAAAGAAATATGTTTTATTATTTTTTTTAAAATTTTTTTTTCGCGACACTTAAATTAAAATATAAGAAGTCACGTGGATGTACGCGTTTTCACGTAAAAGTGTTTTGATTACGTGAGTTAAGGTCTTAAATGTGTGACAGGTTAACTTATATGGGTAAGATCTGCACTATTTTATCATCCTGTCACGTCCAGGCGGTGAAGCATAATTACTATTTATTTTTTGGACAAGTTTCACAAAGTGAAAACCCTATTCGTCACATGTTATTTATCACTGGGGTGGTCAGCCAACCATAATATTCATAATATTATGATACTGGAGTGCGGGAAGTGACACATATGACGTAATTATTAGAAGGGAAATCTTATGTTATACTTATACAGTATTAATTGGTCAGCTTTATAATAGACCTATCGCTATAATGACGTAATATATATTATTTATCATTTTACCAACTTTCAGATGAACTTTTAAAAATATGATTACTGTAAGGAAAATCGAAAGACTGACAAAGTATTTGATGCTGATTATGATTATGTCTATGATATAGTCAGTATTGATACTTCACAACACTAAGAGCACCTATAGTATGAGCAGAACTGAGTATTAATAAAAAACACTCTTGAGAATCTAACTGAATTAAGCAAGAAAGTAAAAAGGATTTAGATGACAGTAACAAATCCACATCTAAGAACTATCGCATGAAAGAAATGAATATGGTAAATGTGATAAAGTTTATTATTATCGTGATAGAGGATACAAAGAAAACCTCCTTAATGATGAGTTCTATTATCTTTCCAATAACTGCTTAAGAGAATTATCAAGCGAAATTACATATTCACATAGACTGAATTATTGTATAGGTTATTTTTTTTTTTTGAATCACATAGGTAGCTTATGCAAAAGAGACTGCAGTATTCTAAACCTGATCACTTGAAATACGCAGAAGATCTTTGGTAAAATTTTTGCCAAAGAATAGGGGTTGTATGACATGCAAATCACATATATATTTCGCATTATTTTTTTTCTGTTTCGATTTATAATTTCGTTATATTGTTTACGCTACTATCATACTAACAAAACAATATTTGAATATAGGTATTTTTTTGAAGCAATCAATATTTTGTATATGGGAATTGGGAATATCTATGCTAATCATTCGTCATTTTTATTGATTTGCAAGGAAATAGTTCTAAAAAGACTGGATTAACAAAGTGATAAAATGCAGTATATAATTGCTAGTAAAGATTCAGAGATGCTTTTTCCTACTAAATTTACAAGCGTTGTAAAAATAGGCCAGATGAATCATGCTGACAAGAAGTATTAGCAAATAAAGATGGCGCTACAACTAGTTGCAACTGGTAACAAATAAGTATTATATAGTTACAACTAATTGTAGCACCATCTTTATTAGCAAAGCTAGTATATCCAATATATCAGACTCAACACGAAACAAGACACTGAGAAAAAAAGACAAACTCCAAAATCTGGCGAATTGTCTCTTGACAATCATATGAAACTTGCTTATAATATCTTGAAAAATCTCAAAAATGATATCATCATGAATAAAAAAATTTCAGAGTTAGATCAATGTTCAGAATGTAATAATAAAATTTTAACACAACCTCTAAAGGTGATTACTATTCTCAGCTGTAACCACACCTTTCACAGAATATGTATTGAGAAAAAGCTTCTACTAACCATACTGAATACATGTCTATTTTCCAATTGTGAAAAGAATGTTAATATTATAGAACTATTTTCTACTACTAATCAAGAATCACTAATTTCAGTTTTATCCAACATGATGAGCAAAAGGTTTATCCTATCTTTACTAACCATACGGATGGAGGAAATCAAGAATACAGGATTTTAATAAGCCAGAAGTTATTTAAGATACGCTAAATGTTCTGAAAACCTTTTTTTGTGTTTTCTACCTATATATTTTCTTCAAATCTTTCCTCAAGCTCTACCCCAAGCTCTCTCAAAACCACTCGTATACTTAACCTGTAAGTATATTATGCATTACTTTTGTATCGACAGTCTAACAAATTATACCCTATCTGTCCATCGGCCAATAATATAAAACAGTGTGAAAAGGAAGAAGAAATGAGTGTAGATGAGAAAAAAAATGATAAGGATGAAGAAGTTAAAATGGTTCCTTTAGAATCGATTCAATCTAAGAAAACCCTATCTAGCAGTAAGGGTAAGAAGAGGGTTAATAATGCTACAGAATCTTTAACCAGTAAGAAATCTAAGAAACATGTTCAGTCAGAGAACTTTAATATTTTAAATAAGCTTATCTGGGAGTTATCTTCTGATACTACTCGATTTTCTGAAATTAAGAAAAGGAGAGGACTCTAAAGAGAAGCTGTACTAGAAGTTAAAATTGATCAAACTTTTTTAATCTATATTTAAAAATTTCCAATGCTGAAAAATGGAAGGAAAAGGTACACTATGAATTTATTGGAAAATACTACTACTATAGAGGGGAGCTAGAAAAATATCTTGCTCACTACAGAAGTTCTTATGCAGAATATGAAGCTTTAAAGAAACTTTATGATAAGGTTAAAGATCAGCTTTCAAAAGAAGTTACAAAAAATGCTTTCTGAAAGAAATTAGATAGGACGAAAAAAGTTTATGATCTTTTTTTTCATATTACTGATGATAAGATTCAATAGGTGGTGTTAATTTAATGAATAAAATGGTTTCATTGATAACTATTTCAAATTTAAGCGATGGTGATATCAAATATGTTACATCTCATGTTAAGAAGAATATTTGACAAAATTAAGCTAAGCGAGCTTGTGACATACCGTAGAGCACTGATTAAACCACCTTGGGTATTTTATAAATCTACCCTTAAATTTGCAAAATACTCAGGTAGTTTGATCAGGGTGGTATTTTGTAAGAAGGAGGGTGGCTTGAAAGGTTATGTAGATCATCAATATATAAAGTTTTTTGGCATTCCATTTTTTGTATCGCGTTCTACT